GTTTATTGTGCTCTCCTGAATTTGGGTGTAGCATTTTTTTTTTTTTTTTTTTTGCGGTGAAGACATAAAAAGACGTAGGCGCAGGGCACGCATGCTCATTATTGCATATGCGAATTTGTGGAGGTAGGAGAATATTTCCTTCCATTTGAATCAAAATAGTTAAACGTCCTGCACAAAGAATGATTAGTAAACTAATCTTTCAAACAATACACATACTATCCCTTTACTAGTAGAATTGTTTGAATGCATTACATTTTTATTTGGGTTTATTAAAGTTTACAAGGTCATATAGCAAAACTTTCTAAAACGATATAGACAGAGTGGACTTTCCCTGTAGGACAGAACACGCGGAGCCGCACATCTCCCAAAACAGGGGGCACGTTTTAAATACGGAATTCTGATGTAATTTTCTCGGCACTAGAAAACTGAGAAACTATAGGGATTAAAGCGATTCTGAAGTCTTCCTGCATAAAAATTCGTCAGCCTTGATGTATGTTTAGGGCAAGTTATGATTAGTAGTTGATATACTGATGTTTTACCGAAATAACGATATATTGACGAGATATTTTTGTCAAGTCTGAGTTATAAAGAAATTACGTATTGAACAAGAATGGTCTATTATTTATTATCGACTTCGTTAGACTTAAAAACCATGCATTACGCTCAAGCTTAGACATGCGGGAAATCAAGTTGCTTCGTTTGGTCAGAATTATTATAAATAATATACCTTGTTATACTTAAGGAGACAATGAATTTGTTCAAAATTGTAATTTCTCAAGGAAAAATGCTAATATTTGTTTATGATCGGGAGTTGTTGGTCACATTTTATGAGACTAATTTGTAGGTTATGTGGTGTAAATCATGTGATTATGAGAAATATGACAAATTAAGTAAATTATCGTGTTGAGTAATAAGGTAGCAAGGGTGTAAATCATTTATTGTGGTAAATGGATTTTTTCCAGTTGAATACCAGCCAAGGTGTTGCTCTGATTTATGCCCTGTGGAGTTGGATCCGGGTGTACATTTAAAATACAAAGTTATAATACACGATTAAATCTAGATGTTTAGCTACGATTAAATAGGATTTAAAAGATTGTCATGAACAGATTTATATTTACACTTTAAACAGCTCATATAACACTAAATGCTGCGAAACGAATACAATAAAAATAAAACCAGAAGAGGCCTAAGAAAGAATTTCGATAATTTAATAGCGCTATTTGTCTTCCTTAACGGGTTTCCACGAAGTAAAGAGAATCAGACCATTTTTTGTTTGCCTGGCCTCATTCGAGGCGCAGTCGTCACTTTATTATTGGACTTGTTTACTCTTAAGGTTTTCTGCAGTAATTACACAACATGTAGTATCCACCTATTTTTAAATCTTTTTAAATAACTACTGTCACGCAGCAGAGAGAGGAGTGTAGGGCGCGGAAGGTGTTACTAACATCCATCTCATTAATTTTATAACAGTGTTAACTTGTTAACATGCCGTACCCATCGAGCTAGTTTTAAAATACCCACGGAATTAATAAGAAACTGCAAGACCTGGGACAAGAAATCCTTCCTAACACAGAATAGCATTTGTGTGATTGACTTTTTGGTTAATTCACTTAATCAGCTGCCTCATATAACTGGCTTATGCGACGTGTTGAGCTTAAAAACAATCAATACATTACTCACGGTTAAATGAAAGACATTAAAGCATTTAGCTGATGATGTCCCTGAGGGACTGGTCGAAATTGGGTGCCTTGACTCAATACACCAGTGGGCAGAGCTGTGCAGAAATTCAGCTGCTTTTTGCGCACGAATTGATAATTGCACATGAATGATTATGTGTCACTGATAGGACAAAGGTATCTGGTATCAAAGCGTCCGCTGTCCTGTGGTTATCACCTGATCTCCGTAAGCCCAGAATAGCGATGTGCGGTCCCCGTTTCACTGTGTTCCGGTGGGCGACTTTTCAGCGCACGCTCCCAGCGCAAAGAAAAAAATTAAAGCGCAATGCGCGTCAGTTCTAGTCCCCCAGAGACAACTGTATGTCCAAAAAGCCTATAAACCGAGCTTAATAAACTTATGGCATATTAGTAATTACCTATGCGTGCGCATGCAAAAGAAATTCAGTTGAACTGTAGGATTGTTACCCCGTAAAAACTGCTTTACATTGAGTTACATGCGGGTCCGCAAAGCATGCTTGTGCTATTCACGAAAAAGGCAATGATGGACCCTTTGATTGGAGAGGTCAAAACCGGCCTCAGAACCACCTTTCTCCCAGATCCTTCTGCACAACCGCGCAAAATGAAGCAAAGTTTGGATGCTAGATGAAGTTCAATACAGGTTAGTGTAGACATGGTGGTCCAACCAGAGAGCACCCCACCTGTGATTTAAGCCACTTCAGAGGGTTCCTGCCATGGAGGCATTGTCACAGATACTAAAGAACTCTGCCCCCCACCCTTACTCATTCATGTATGTACATCATGCACTAATTTGCGCAAAATGCTGGCTAAATCTGGCACATGGAAGCACTCACAGAAAGGAGAGTCGGGTTAATTCCTTTCCAAATTCGTCTTTGAATGCAGAAGCTGAGCTGACCTTAAAAATAGAGCGTAAGGTAACGTAATGACTGAGCTGAACAGCTCCCTGTACACAAGCGAACTATCGCTCATTTTAGCACCTAACAGATGCAGACTTTCTTCGTTGTTCCAAGCATTGCTGACGCCAGACATTTCACCTCTTTTAACCAGCCGCACCCGTCCAGCCCCCAGGTACTCCACAGCTTACTGCAGATGAACGGGCTTAAAAATGTGTAAGACACATCCACCTGCATTCTTTTGTATGTCAGCTCTAGGCAGTACACTCTGTACCCAGAATCCCCCTATTTCCCGCTGTCTACAGCTTCAAAAAAGTAACGCTGGTGTGTTCTGAAATGTTTTCACATTAGACAGTAATTCACAAGTACCAACACAATATAGGCCAACTAGCATCCCCTTGTATCTATTTCCCTGACTTGTACCTGAGATAGCAGTCAGGCCTCCCACAAGCCTGCTCAGTTGTTAGATGGATGGATGGATGATGGATGGATGGAACACACACAGCAGTCTCTTTCCACAGGCCATCACTCTCTTGAACACTTAAAGCAGCCACACAGTGTCAGTCAATACTTGTACAATAAATCTGTTCACACTAAACATCCACTGTACCTGCAAACTGGAATCTGAGTATGCTGTATATATGTTGTATATATTGTATATACCATATATTGTACATATATGTATATACTGTCAAGCTCACTGACCTCCTGTATATACAGTCATCAGCATCTTTACACTCTGCAACTATTGTCCTTTGGCTCAAGTGCTTACTGTACATACTGTATTTCAATGTTGTAGATCTGTGATCTGTATCTACATATTCTATACCTTTTTTTGCTGTATGTCTGTCCTGTGTAAGTACATTGAGCGCAAAGAACAACCAGAGATAAATTCCTTGTATGTGAAAATATACTTGGCTAATAAAGTTGGTTAATCAAATATAGAAAATAATATAGAAAATATGGCCTAAGCTGGAGAACATTCCATGGGTATTCCTAGATCTTTTTCGTGTTCAAGTATCATGTATCCGCCTTGTTATCACAGGCATCAAGTAAGCCAATGTTATCAGCATACAACATCTTTCTGGGAAAGGTAACAGGTTTGCCACATGGTAAGTGTGGTGTCCGTAGCAGAGAGATCCTGCAGAAGTGCAGCAGTGGTATACCATCCACAGGCATGTGACACCGCTCTCGGCTGCGTGTAGGAGTTTGTGTGTGTTCTCTGCTGCCGTGAGCCCAGTTCCTACACCCTGCTCTGGAACATCGGCTGAGATTTCGTTTTTCTGTTGAGACACAGTACAGAATACAGAGATGAAGAGAATGAAGGAGGGGAACAAAGAGGATGAAAATCACTAGAGCAGACAGAGTTGTGCTTACATTGTGCTTTCCTTGTTCGTTACATTATTGCCTGATAGTGGTTGGATTTCACATTTCTGGTTTTACAGTAGTTAACAGCAAATCGCACTTTATGTAGCAGTTAGTTTTATGTTTTTCTTTATTTAGCAGATTTTACCCAAAGTGATCTCCCTGGGGCAAATGGGGGTTCAGCTCCTTGCTCGGGGATTTGAATCAGCACCCCCCTTCCCATATTTTGTAAAGTTATAGTTTATAGAGTAAAATTAGTTTTTATACTGAAAGATGTATGATACAGTTTTGTTCTTGACACATCTCAGACATCTCAGATTTAGCCTAATATGTAAGTGCTGTTTAATAAATATAGGCTATTTAAGTACAACAATCACTGAACTTACCGTAATTTAGACCTGAACATCTGAAAAATATTTAAAATGTACAGCGCACGTTGTCTCGTTCTTAATAGGGGGTCTCTGTGATTCCTAATGGGGTGTCATAGGGAGATAAGCGCAGTCTGAGTTACCCCAAATAGGATAGAGAAACGCACACAGAAAAGCCGGAGAGAAGAGGCTCGGATTTGCTCGTTAGAAACAGATGATCCGTGCCAGGGTGACTCAGAAGTGATCACCACCTGCTCGAGCGGAGAGCTCACGCAATTATGGAGGCTTACGGCTCCAGGAAGGCAGAGGACCAGGTTGTCTGCTTTTTAAGTTCTGGGAAATCCTTCTGGACTGTGAGAGAAAACACCATTATTATTTACCAACCGAGACAACAGTATGGCATAAAGATTAATCTAAGATAATATCAATATGATTTATCAGGTTCAAGAATTAACTTCCCCATATACTGCTAGATTAAAGCCAAAACATACTAATCGAAAGCATTTAAGGACAAAATATGTACCAGCTGACTGCTAGCAGCTAATTTTAATTTTAAAAATAATAATCTAAAATATATCTTGCTGTACTGTCGAAAGATATGGGTGGGTGGGATGGAAAGAAAGAATGTGGCTGGATTTGGGTAGAGGAATGGGGATAGATTAAAAATATCAGCGGAGAGGCTGTTTTGGCGTAAGCACACAGGGAAAGAAAATGGACGTTGGGTTTTTGAATACAAACCAATGATCGATAACACACAGGTGAAGTACACTCTCAGAAAAAGGGTAAAAATTTGTCCCTTTGTTTGTCATTGGGCTATACCCTCAAGGGTCTGCCAATTGTACTCTTAGCTGTAGGTAATTGTACATAAATGGTCCCTGATGATCATTAACTCTGTTTGTACCTCTATAATGTTCCTCAGAGTCCATTTCTGTACCTTTAAAGGTACAGCCACAGTACAGCCCCACACCCCAAATCTTACAAACGTAATATCGTATAATTTCCTCTAAAAATGACCGGAATGCATATTTTGTATTGTCGTTTCAGAAAAAGAACGCATTCGTTCGCCTTGTGCACTTGAAGGGAATATTTCTAGAAGTCCTCTGTTCCGTGGTGGTTTCCCGTCTGGCTGTCGCATGAGTAAATTAGGTCAATGGTACAGTGTGTGAACTAAATTCATTCGTATTAATATGAAACAGCTAAAAAATGGGGCATCATTAATTAAAGGAAATCTTCGATAATGTGTGGTCAGACACATTAATGCACGCATTGCTGTTGGGAGTACATAGCTACGCTGTTAAAGGGTTTGGCTCATTTGTGAACGAGTCAGTTCACAAATCCTCTTTTTCTAGTAATATTCTCATTTATGGAAAACAAAGAAGAAGGATTAACAGATCTGGTAATTAGTTATTTAATTCTTTTAGACCTGGGGATATATGGGTAATTAATTATGATGGATGCTTTTAAACTTCCCTCACTTGTCTCCGTGACCGTGCGGTGCATGCCCGATCATCTCAGCAGCGGGGGTTACCTTGACCCTGCCTAAAGCCTGCACAATCTCTTCCGTGGTTTTAATCTCATGCACTAGAACACAACAGCAGTAGTTTTTGTTTTTTCCCACGTTAAGAAAGGATGTGAAACCAGCCGGATTTCAAGCAGGCAGGATAAACGCAGTCGTGTCACGGCGCCCTTGGGGTTGGATCCTCCAAACTCCCTGCCTCTTCGCTTCCTATCGGAAGCTGTCCTCCTCAAAGAATTCCAGCGCTGCGGGACAGGACGCATGCGGGTCAACCGTTTCTCAGATCATCCCCCTCCCCAACCCAGTGCTGCAATATCTACAGCTGACCAGACCATAACCCCAACCCACCAAATACTCTGTTACATTCATGCTCCTCCCAACAAACTCCCCAGACTCCATCCATCCAACTTCTGCTGGTCAGAATTCCTTGACCTTCACTATAGTCCAACCATGTCACCAATATGTTATATACATTATGGATTTGCTTGGATATTGATTGATATTGAGGAGGTCTTAAACGACTTCCCTGTTACTATAGGTCAAGATTTATATTAGAGTGATTCCCGTAATATCGCCCTCAACATTCACTGGGGACCGGGGTTTGAATTTTCTTTTGGTCGCCTCTTCGTAAAAATCTGCGAAAATTGGAAGTATGATTATTATTGAGAAACAATCGATTCAGCTGTCACGTAATAAAGGTCTCCAACAGAACACCTTGGTTCCCCTCAACGCGAACTTGAATGAAAGATAAATTTATTGGTAATTCTAAATTCAATGAAAGATCCGCACATTTACTGCTTAGGCCAACTACCTGGATGTTTTTTTTTTTTTTTTTTTGGAATAGCCTACAACCTACAAGTTAGCAGGATGTAGAACAATAGCCTATTCTACAACTCTCTTACTTTATAAATTACTTAATTTTTTACAAAAGGCAATTACGTATTCATGTTTACCCTTTGTTTTGAAAATTCATCCAGAAGCACGTGCGATGCTTTATCTTTCATCTTTTCTCCACGTCAATGCATCTATATCAATTTCACTTCCCGAAACTACTGTATACACAATCACCGTTCCACCTGACATGTTACCATCGCTGTTTTCTTTAACCTGAAATTTAAAGCGCATTGCAGCAGAAGGTTGTGTGAGTCATGTTTTTAGGAATGTCACCAGTCAGATTTAATAGGCTTATATAACGTACGAACTCTACTGTATTCCAGGGTGCCACTTAAACTCAATGACTTTAGCATGTGGTAACACGATTTTTTGTATGCCAAGGTGGGGGGAAATGTTTACTATATTTGTAATTATCATATTCTGAATACTTGAGGGGAAATTATTAGAGACATATAAAAAAATTAAAATCGCATTACAGTTAAACTGATGGTGATATTTGCGCCATCTAGTGAATATAGATAATGGCTTAAATTACCTTAAATCAGGGAAGCATTTTTTACAGAAACATTATAATTATGCATTGATTACCATGAAAACTATTAACAATCTTTACCGCTATGAGAAATGTATTATCTAGCCTACTTGCAAAAACTAGCAGTGTAAAATATCTTTTCCCATTCTAGCCGAGTTCATTTCCAGTGTAAACCAAAATCGTTACACGGCTAACTCAAAAAAGAAAATAAAAAACCATGAATTTTCAGTATCTTGATCACCAAAACATGTAAGCTTTAAATCAGTGGTCTCAAACTCCAGTCCTGGGGGGCCGGAGCCCTACACAGTTTTTGGGTTTCTCCTCATTTAACATACCTGATTCAACTCCTTGTGCTAATTACCACATAGCTCTTGAGCTGAATCATTTATGGTGGAACAGGGAAAGAACTAAGCTACACAGGGCTCTGGCCTTCCAGGACTGGAGTTTGAGACCCCTGCTTTAAATGGTCGGGTCTCCAAATAGCCACCACTATCCATTAAACAAAGCTTCAAATACACACGCTCGACTTCACCGCCAAGCAAACAGGAAAACTCAAACTCCCACAATTCCTTGCTCCTTCAGCCGCAGGCAAAGTGGCACGGAAGCTATAGTAATTTTCAAGCATGGCAGCCTTCTGTGCCGCACGGGGTGTATTTAGATTATTTTCGTTGTTAAGAAATGTCGACTCATGTTCTGCAACGCAGATCGCTTATGCGAGAAGAATGCTGTGCAGCTCACCCTCTGATAAAGGTGTATATTAACGCTTTACTTAATCTGCAAACGGATTCAATTTGATAAATCATTTACTGACCTTGTGTATGTCGCCATAGAAAGAAAGGATTTTGCTTTTAAATATTAGGCATTCTAGCTAAATGATGGTTAGATTGTTGTAAAAACTTGAGCAACTAGGCTATATAAGCTACTATATTAATTTTGGATACACTGGTCTTAGATACCAGGCACCAGCTGCCCTCTTCCATTCATATTTCAGTGCCTGTACGATCTCAGTCAGACATACTAATGTAAATGTTTAACACTCTATGTATTCTGGTAGGAGATGACGACATTGCGACGGTGCAGTTTTCCGATGAAAAAGTGCAGGACATCCTCATCAGAATCACCGGGATGGACCTGCAGAAGATATTTCGACCCGTTAAGGAGGAGTTAAAGCCACCGACATACAAGCTCATGACAGATCAACAGCTAGGGGAGGTACCTAATTGTCTTCGATTGTTTGTGTCACTCAGTGTCCATTTATGAACGGCGGACCCTATCAAGTATTGAAAATATATTTCTGGTTTCATACCTTTTTTGTACAGCCATGGATTGCTTAATGACTGGAATACGTTCTGATATCGTTGTTGTGCGAACATTATCATCATGAGGTACTTACACAAACCTAGATGGTATAGCGTACTGTTTCACAATAAACTAATTTATAAGTGGAAAGAGTACATTTTAAAATAACGATACTATTACAATACATAATATAAACCAGTAACATAGTTACTAAACCAGCGTTTTCTACTACGGAAGCCGAGAACGGCCGTGCTTGCAATTATTTTTTTATGTTATCTCGATATCCAGAGATATTTAGCAGCGTGGTAGCCTAAGCTACAACTTTTAAAAGGGTTTGCAGCTTATATACAGTTTACATTGTTATCTCAGGGTCACTGTGTATGTCTGCCATTGTGTAGATGGAACAGGTTTGTTTATATCAAATTGCTGTATTTTTATTATCATCTATACATGTTGTGTGCAGTGATGACATAACATTTCCCAGGACCATGGTGCAGCTTAGAGACTTAGAGACATGCATTTCATGGTAAAACACTACATGGGTATAACACTTAATTTCAGCATTTAATACATGGATGCACACATTAAGTAACACAGTTACACTAGATATACCAGCAGTGTTACATGTGGCATTGACTGTCCTGTGGCATCACAATTTGTTCACCCTTGCAAATATTCAGAGAAAATTGTCTCGTCATCTCAAGATAATGGCATTAAAAAATAATTGCAGGCACACCCAATCTCGGCTTCTGTACTGTACATAACTGTATGTGTACTTTTACATAACTGTCAGAGCAGTAGGTTTATTTACACCAGAATCACCACAAACACGTGAGCAATGCGTTACGCTACGATATTACAGCGCTATGATGTTACTAAGTGAAAGGAAATTTTCAGCTGCATTATAATCTTTGGGGGCCGCTGTCGTGTTTACAGGCCGTCCATCGTTAACCGAAAAGTCATTAGGTGCGGTATAACTATGTATTGTATATTTCTATATCAATACCCACATTTTAATGATGATGTGATAAGCTACTTAGTATTTCTCTGGCTAATTTCACAGGCCAGGCAGAAGGCGATTGAGGAGGCTAAACTGAAGCTGAAGATGCCCCCGGTCCTGCCTGAGCGAAAGCCCATCAATGACATCCTGTCACAGGACAAGTTCTTAGCCGGCATGGAAACAGCCAAGTATGTTTTCACTGACATTACCTTCCAGACTCCTCACAGAGTAAGTTTTGAAAGCCGATTCCATTATTTGAAAACATTTTAGCGCAGGAGCTGTATACATCCGCTCCCCGGGTTCCGTTCGTAAGGCGAAAATATTGTAAGGCAAAAATGCATTTTAATTCAGAACCCCTAACCTGACTTAAACATGCTTGGAACACTTGCATTAGCCTACAGTTGGGCAAACACATTAAAACAAAGCCTGTTTTATAATGAAGCATTGAATATGTCATGTAAATGAGAAGCTGAACGGATTTGGAATACCCATTGAAATAAGAGTGTAGTTGATGCCCTTACCACCTGTCCCCCCACCCGGCAATTCTTGTAGGAACGTTTTGTGGTGGTCCGGGAGCCAGATGGAACTTTGCGTAAGGCTTCATGGGAGGAACGGGAGAGGATGATTCAGGTCTACTTCCCTAAACCAGGCAGAAAGCTCACACCTTCCCCCATTTTCCAGGAAGGAAACCTCAAGGTAAGGCCTGCTTACTCTCCAGCTTCCTGCCCATGGAGTAAATCCTCAACTGCACTCCAGAGGAACAACATTCTAGGATGTTTATCCACTGTCCAATCAGAACGCAGCTTCAATTCCCATGTGACCTCTTACATCAGGCCTTTCTACTGCCCTGTCCAGGTTGTGTACCAGCAAGACCGCCACGAAGACCTTCTGGACCTTTGCATCGCCCAGTTCGAACCCGATTCCTCTGAGTACCACAAGGTTGGCGTTAAACCATAAGCCCCCCTTCTTTTGCATCAGGCACATCTGCTGTGAAGCCCCTCCCAGTCATAGCACAGTCTGTCGCGTCTCTGCAGGTGCACCGGCTCGCCTACGAGGACATTGATAAAAGGGCCAAGTACGAGCTCCTGCGCTCCAGCCGTCACTTTGGCAGCCTGGTGTGGCACCTGGTGATGGTGCGGCGTGTGGACGGCCTGCTGGTGGATATGCTGCAGAGGGAGCTGTGAGTGCCGCCCACCCACCCGCCACATAGTGGTTAGCGATTAGCCCTTTTTGTTTAGTCATCTTAAAACACGGTTCCACAGTTGTGCTTCCAGTTAACATGGATCCTCTGTACTGCGTGTCACCTGTCTAGACTTCCACTGTGAAATGCGAGTAGAGCGTGGTTTTAGGTTAGACATTTTAGATGCTGGTTAATAGAGTAGCATTGTGGCTCATTGGGTAACACTATCGGGTCACACCTCCGGGGTTGGAATCCCCTCCAGTCCCCCACTCCTGTGCATGTGTAGTTGGTGTGATCTTCCCATGTTTCCTCCTGATACCTCCCACATCCAAACAGGTTTAGGCTCACTGGCATATCTAGATTGGCCAAAATGTGTCGTCGTGTGCCCTGTGTACAATGGCCTGGCATCTTGCAGCAGGGTGTATTGTGATACTGAACACTGTCCCCCTCCCCCCCCCAGCATAAACGAGGCAGTGAGCCTGGTCACTCTCTTCCACATGGTTCACCCTCGGAGCGAGTCGGCCAAAGAAGCGGGCCGTCTGGAGGCCAAGGGCGTCGAACTCCTTAAGGTTTGTACCCCAGACTGATCGGGGATGAGCTGTTTTCACACTGAGATGCAGGAAAGCCAAAATTTCAGCTTTTATTTGGGATATTTCCATGTGGAGGGGTGTGTAGAAAGTGGTCTAAAGAGAGGAAAGACCTTTGTGTTTCTGTGACATTAATGGATTTCTACTGGATTGTGTGTAGCAATTTCCAGTATTATTTTCACCTGTGGTTTAACGGACTCTTTGGACAACTGAGCTGATCTGTTTTGGGGTAGAACAGTCAAAGTCCGGTGTTAGGCCGTGTGCCAGTTGTACCATCAGCAGGATCCACACCGGAGAAATGAGCTGATGAGATCTACTGGTTTCAAGAAGCTTAATGACCATAGTCAGGTGATGCTGATCATCTTCGTGCTTCTCCACTGAAGGTCTACGCCAGCACGGAGTCTCAGCGGGGGGGTTACATCGAGCTAGCCCTGCAAGCCCATCAGCAGATGCTACAGGAGAACGCCTTGTAAGCCACCCAGTGTAGGCAAGATGGGTGCCATAAGATGCCACTGGTCTGCTTGTGGTGACACAGGATCCATCCTCCTGCTGTGTGACACTGATGGACACGTCGTGAGCCTGCGTACCCTGTAGCAGGGACCTGGGTGACCTTTGCCCTGTTGTCCTCTTGGATTTGCAAGTGCGACCCTGACCTTGTAGGGTGTGTTTTGTCTAGCATTGTTCCAGGATGGGCTCCTGTGTTTGTAAATAAAGATGTTGATGCTTCGTTTCACCAGTTTTAATCTTCCCCTTTCATAATAACATTACCTGTGCCGGGTGCCTTGCTTAATGCCCATGTGCTTAGCTTAACATAAAACATTACTCATGCCTGATAAACCTCATTGGTAAACCAGCACGCTCTCTAAAAATATAAATATTAATGCTAATGGCAGTACGTTCCAGAAAGGAAAGCAGAAAGTTAACAAAAGCTGAAATCAACTTATTAATCTGGATAAATATGAATATATACGATACTTGTAATCAATAGATAATTTTTTTTTTCCTCTTCAGCATCACCATTTTTTTTTTAATACAACAAAAGTGAATAAAATTAGGTTGACAGCAACAGTATGGCTAATAATTTTTACCACTTAGAGAATGAAATAAATGCATTGCTGCCCTATTACGACGTGTTTTACTATACAGCTCTGGAAAAAAATTGAGACCACAGCATAATTCAGTTTTGCTCATTTCTCAGTTTAAGGGTTATGCACCTATAAAAAATACATATGTTTTTTTTTTTGCAAATTGCAGCCTGGCTCTTCCCTGCTTCTCATTGAGTCTTCCTGGCTTTATGGGACTTTAGTCCTGCTTCTAAGAGCCTTTTTTGAACTGTCCTAGCAGTGCACTGCTCACCACTTAATGTTTCCTATTCTTTTTGGAGGTCACTTGAGGTCATCCTCCGATTTATGAGGCACTGACGGATAAGTTGACAGTCATCTCTGCCATTAGAAAATTTATTTCTGTCCTCTACCTGGTTGGTTTTTGGTCATTGCCAGTGTCTCCTGCTTCACCTCGTTGTCGTGTCATGCTGTCTTAAAAACTTTGAGCCTGGAAGCAGCCTCCCTCGGAATCAGATACCACCCTGGCGATGACCTCATCTTTACCAGCCCAGAACTTCACCTCTACTGCCAGCAGATCACACCCGCGAGCCATAGCAAGCTCACCTCACATCTGCCGGTCACATTAGGAAGTCCTTTCCCAGCACTGGTGGATGGAGTACCTGAAAACCATACCTGAGTACAAGTAGACATTCCTTATTAGGAAAATGACTCTGGTAAAAGTTAAAAATCGACCACTGAAATACCACTTGAGTAAAAGTATCTGATATTAATAGTACTTAAGTATGAAAAGTATTTAGCTGGTGTTAAATATAAGCTTAAGTAAGATGTAGTAAAAAATTAGGTACAATAACCTTCTGTACCTGTCCCAAAAAAGAACTAGATGCTGTTGCAATAACAATGTATTCCCCGGACAGCCCATCACCCCTCTGCACATGTTATCCCTACTCCTCCCGTGACCTCTGAACCTCTATAATCTCTACCCTATACCTACTCCCTCCACCTGTCCAAAAAATCTTTTTTAATAGTCCAGCCTTGTGTGACTTGTCTCAGTGTTCCCCAGATCTGTCTCTCTAGCTGTCCTTTTATGTGTCACCGCTATGTCACACTGCTCCTATCTTTCTGTGATTTGTCTCCAAATGATAAAATACATTTGGAGATTCTCTGTTCACCAGATAAAGTGTCTTCTGCAGACACCTTTTCCATCTTTTGCTATCATCTAGTGCTGCTGCTTCAGTTTTGAGGAGATTTATCAGAAAATGAGATCAGGTGTAGACCTTCATCCATATAATGATTTTATGAAGTGGTTATATAATAATTCAAATACTTTTTGAATGACCACATTCACAAATAATTATCACATTTGGTGCAATTTGTGTCAAAATCTATTCAGTTCCAGGCCAGTTCAAGGACCTGTGAAATTTGAAAAAGATCTGAAAAATATTTCTTGAGTGTTTGTGGCTACACTTCTCTTTGGTACCACTATGCTTGGCTGCTTCAATTTTGGCGCAAATTTTAATTTAATCAATCCCAGACTTTCTCCCATAAAATTTGTCAGCAAAGTTTGAAAAAGATCCATCACATACCTTGTGCGTTAACGTGCTAATGAGATAAGGGCAACCCAAAACCATAAGTATCCCTCACCCAATAATTTGCAGGTACATTAACTGTAAGAAAAAAGCACCAGTTTGCATCTTTGAGGGTACAATTACTTGTCACTGGGGCTGTACTCACGAGTCTGCCAATTGTTCCCTAGCTGTAGGCAAATGTACCTTTTAAGGTACAGAAATGGATTCTGAGGAGCATTTTTGTACCATTTGCGGTATATTAATGTTATTTCTGACAGTGTGGACAGGTAGTAGAATTGTGAGCTTGAACCCCCTACTGCAAGATCTAATGAGGGAGACCTACCAGTAGGGTTGTGATGAAATTTATTTCTGGCTACAGGCAGGGGCGTAGATTGGCATGCCCCTACCACTACTGTGGGGGTGTTATGTGTGATTCGGGGGTTAAGGGGGTTTGGGGCTGATTTCTCCCTACCAGTGTTGATAACGAACCCACACCCTTGGCTACAGGCCTGATTACAATAACTGTAATTTATATTTAGGCAAACTGTAGCTATATTCTTAGCAGCAGTTGACACAACAAGCATTTTGAATGACATATTTTAGCACGTATTTTATCACTGTTTTAATGTTCAAATAAATTGACACAATCAGTGCAAGAGTAAATCATTTTGTAAAATGTAATGGGGAAATAAATTTCTTACTTGCTTTACTTCTACATGAAATAAAAATTTACGCAAGCCTGCCAATTTTTATATATGCAGTGCTCTTAATATGTATTTAAAGATCTACATCAAATTATTGTAATTAAATAGTTATGCCTCATCTAACTGGGTTAAAATTATATTGTGCAGGAAAAGCCTTTATAGAAACTAGCGCAGCAACAAAGGGGACTTTAAGTACCAAGCTTGACATAAGCGACATTTTTGTTATAGATCAATGACAACACCAGTTTGGTAAGAAAATATCAAGGCATACAGTTTCAAAATATATCTGATCTATTAATACTGGTATGCATCATAATATTACCTCACTGTGTTTAATAGGGTCATGATATGCCCGCGTAATCCTGTTCCCCACAGGACATCACCTACCTTTGGTGGACTTATTGACATCAGCAGACATGTGATGGCCAGACCACAGTCAGGCTGCACTGCCCGTGTCCTTATTAACCTCACCTCAATGACGGGCACCATCGCTATTCAAGCTATTTCTTTCTCTAGTCAATTAAAAAAAAATGCTTGATCCAGTTGATAATCAATGCTGAATAACTGTCTTACAGAGACTTTACATATATATAAAAAAAAAAAAAAAAAAAAAAAAAACAGAGACTTTACAAGGGGGAAGATGCATGAATTGGGGGGGGGGCTAAATTTTACTTGATCAGCAGTATTAAAGGGGTGTTCATAACCTCAAAAGGAGGGCACTTTCATTCAGGCAAGAAGGCTAGGTACTCAGGCACCTCGAGCTACCAACTGCCCCCCCCCCCTACCGGACATGACTGCTGATTAAGGTCTCAGATTTAACACAAAAAAACAAGGGTTGCATGTGCTTGACACAGTAAAAAAAAAAAAAAAAAAAAAGTTACTGTGTAAATATGTGTCAAAAAGCAGTGAGAAATCAATCAACAGCCTGTTCAGATTAAATAACAAGGCTCTCTGCTGGACCCGCAGCCATCGTAAACCGTGAGTTCCTCGTACCAAAACCTGGACATACATGTTAAATGTTTAGGATGTAAATGTTAAATGTTTCTACTCACAGAATCAAAAAACAAACCTTAAACATATGTATTGATAAACATATGCATACAGGAGGTCATATATATTAAAGTCCACCAGTGATTTGCTTACGATGTACGACACTGACTCTCAATCATGTGAGCAATCAGATTTATTCATTTCTTTTGATTTTTTTAGAGGGGTCTGTGGCATTTTTTTTAAACACACTCGTTAGTCCTGATCAAGACTGATCAAAGGGCAAAGGGCAGTTTACAGTATTTGTGAATGATTGTGATAACCCTGTTACACATATAATCCGAACTAAACCATCCAGCACAATCCAACAAAAGCACACATTAACATGCACTGCCCTTTATAAGAAAACCTAACCATTATTCTGATAAACAGCAATTCTGTACAATGTAAGCTGTATGTAATGTAGGCCTATACAAGGATATTTATGAGTCACCAGATCTGTTCATGCGTTATTTATCAAAAGTTGCCTAATAATGTGGTATATAACTCAAGATTGAGAAATACATTGTATTAAAATGTATTATATTGACCTTAAATGACATTTATAAGCTATTAGGAACAGAATGTAACGTATGTCAGTGTTTGGATTTTGGATACAAAATAGAGGATCCAAGAAAAATAAGTCAAGTAATGAGTCTCCTTAAACTTCTGAACAGAAGTTCAAAAGGTTTCAGGTGCAAGTGCCAAGTATGGCCCTGTCACTGTTACCAAAGACAAGGTATGTAACCTAAAGTGCTTCACTTTGCTTGAGTAAACTGTTGAAATCTGGAGCCTGTTTAAGTTCCTTTGGATAAAACTGATTTATTGATATAAAATAAATCTATATTTAATAGAACACATGACCTTTTATTCTTTCCGCTTGAACACCTGATGACAGACTACGTCCTCGCAGGTTATTTCCTGAAAATGCAAGAGAAAAACCAGGTTTAAGCGCCTGTTAATAATTTGGCTGAATTTGCATTCATTTCCAGTAGATGGCAACAGATCCCTTTCTAACTTACATAGACGCAAGTTACACCATCGTTTGCTGCAATCTTCTGTAATAATGCATGCATTTAAAAATGGGGAGAAGTGATGCTTAAGAAGTTTTTAATTATTCATAATTTGTTACCATGTATAACATATCTCCTTTGACCCAGTGCTTCCATCCTCGATTGGCCTTTTCTCCTTTCTGGATGCACACAAGTTTGTCCCCTTCCCAGGTAATCAGAGTCTAAAATCCAGGCAAAAAAGAGGATTTAATGAAAGAGTTTGAGATGTTTGAGGCTCAGTGTGGGTTGTCAAGCCTGAATACATTTTGCTCACAGCCCTCAATGTATTGTTAAATATTTAGTTGGTGTATAACTATTCTGATGTTTTTCCTAAGAAGTAATCAACACAATATAAACATATACAAGACAATGCAGGGTGCTCAATGTAATTTGTCAACTTTGACTTAATTTGATTTATATTGATTAAGACTGGAACCATTACATTATTTGGGAGGAAAAGGGAGGAAAATGTAAAGAGAGTCCTTTGCAGGTATCAAATGACAGGACCCACCTTGACCACCCTGTTGTCCAAGCCCTTGGTGTACTCCTCAAACTCAACCCCCACAGTAAAGGCCACCTCATAGTTCCGGAAGGTGCTCTGTGTCTTGATCACAAACTGGTCCCCATTCTGCATAATCACCTTCGTCTGAACCAGGTGAAGCGCAATTTTACGAGTGACAAAGTCAATATCTGGGTGAAAATGGGGAGACCAAACCAAAAATGACTTAACTTGTCCAAAACTACATCTCACTAGACTAGACTTGACAGTTTTTGACATTTTCAATAATCAATAGTGCTATATTCTATCAATATTGAATATCTAACAATTAACTAAAATGGAAAAAGAAAAATTTCCAAAGAATGGGAAACTTTGCTATGGATTACAGATCACATCAGTCTCAGACTATATTAGTGTAAACATTTTGTTAAATCAGACCTCTATTTATCGGAGGGTTTAATGAATAAAACTCCAAAACTTCCCACGTAGAGTCCAAATCACTGCTGAAGGCAAAGGTTCTTTGACTTCTTGCCGGTACATTAACGAAGCGATACAATTTCCCCATCCTTCTCTTTCAATAAATTAAATCAACTGGAGTTTATTGATACACTGGCACTACAACGTAACCTCTTTTCAGTTAACTATTTATTAGTTTGTTTTGGCTTTTAGGTTTTTATAATCTTTTAAATGTGATTTTAATGTCTTCTGTTTTAATGTATGCCTGTACTTCTGTAATGCACTTTGAACTGCCTTGTGTCTGAATTATCCTATGTAAATAATCTTGCCTGTTCCAGGCCTCCTTTCTACAGTTAGATCATGACATTCGCCCAAAAGGTATTTAACATGGAGTGGCGCTCAGGAGGTGGCTTACTCAGAGCTTTCATGAGGTCCTCAAAGTTCTCATTGCTCATCAACTCCCATCGGCCGCTGAGGTCTGCGGACATGGTGACGCCGAGGTGCCAAGCCTGTGCAGGATGTTCACAGAGACAGAGGAGGAGTGTTGGGCCCCTCTGGGTCTTTTTATAACCACTGGCCATTGAGACCTGGGGCAGAGTACGCTAGATAAGATAATTTATTTCTCCTGGGGGCAGGGGCTTTGAAAGCTTGGGTCCAGCGTTGTAACTGCTGTGGCAAGGGTCAGTCGGGCCAGTAGATCAATTTTTAATTGTAATGCATCGCGGAAACTCACAGCACGAACCTAAGTAGCTCACGCAACCAAGAACAAACACACACATATGCAGGCACTGACTCATACGCACCCACCTACCCACACAAACCCCCACATCCGCAAACACTTACAGGACGTATAAGGGCTCCAATGTAATTGTAGTTTATACAAATAAACAATACATGTTATTTTATCTTTATCGTGTTCCCGGTATTAATTCAGTGCAAAGGGTATGTCGTTATTTAGAGATTGGGCAACAATTAGATTCTACGAGAAGGAAAGAACTTCAAAGAGCACAAAGGCCTTTAGTTTGCTAACAGAAAGAGCTGGATGAGACAGTATCATGAACGTAAACCTAGTTACCTTAGTGTCCGAACCTGTTAGCATGGGGTTTACGATCTTCTTCAGCATATGCTCGAAGCATCCAAAAAAGATTAACATCTGCATAAACACAAAGACGGACAAAGTCTCTCATTTATACTGCTGGATGTTTAAATGCTTTGCTCTAGAGCAGGTTCCATGTGGGACTTCAGACAGAAAGCGTTCAGATTAGGTCCATTCCCTTAACATTTATTCTGCCTAAAAATGTAGCAACACATCGCATGACATGGACACCAGCAATCAGAATAAAACCAATTGGCATCTTTATCTGGAGCTTTGAGGCTTGCCCTACATCACATTCCTCTCTTGTCCTTTGGCAGGGGTCTGATTTGGAAAGTCAAGGGCTTAATCTGAAAGGCACTGGGCCAGATATGGAGGCTTTTATTTAAGAGAAACATCAGCCAAATACACAAAAAAGCTTTTGTGTTTGTGAGGATGGACCCAGTTAGTCAACGGAAGGTCAAGCATGCTTTCAGGCTTGTGTCTGTTACCATGGTGAAGAGGACAGCTAGTCTTTTTCCCTATGCAGTGTCTATCCTATTAGAGGTCAAAGGTTTTATCAGACTAAGTGAAACTCAAATTACCAAAGAATGCATAGGGGGAAATAACAGAAAATGACACTATATATCTAAATTCTGCATATGAAAGCATTTCACCCAAGAAATGTTTATAATTTTGAATGAATGTTTGGGTATCTACAGGCAATCTGAATTACATTATTTTAGAGCAATTTTCTGCAAAATACATCAGTGTAGCGGTGGAATATTTCAGAGAGATTTTAGTAAGTCTGCTGCTCCTCAGCAGGAATATTGAGCATAAATGAACTGCATGTCATCAATCATCTAAAGGGCAACAAAGAAACCAAACAAAACAATGCCTCCCAGCCCAATAACAGAGAGTGACCGTTTTGCCAGACATAGACTCTTAAATATCAAAATTGTTACTGGCGTGCCTAACTACTGATAAAAAATGCTCAAAGTTCTTACAAAATTACAAAGTTTCAGTTTGCCAACAGTCTGTTGTCAGTTATTCACCTATTGATACGTCGGCACGTCACTTAGAGTCAGACAATAAAACACAGACAAATAAATAAACAAACAACTGATGTTTGTTTGAGATAAAAGTAGGAGAATTGTGATGATTTTAAGTGCCATCAGTCAGATAATATGGTACTATTTAAAACCGTGGACCCAGCCTCAGCATTCTGTTATAAATGGCCAGCCACTTCCCTCATTTTACCGTTCTGTTGAAGGTAACTAACATAATATAGATGCCAGTTGACAATAATGTCCGCTGGCCTACAACCTCCAACGACAATGGAAGAGCACTGTCATGTTCTGTCCTGCACCCGTATGGCCAGCAGAGGTCCCCCCTGCTGGTCATCCTGAGTCCCCAGTCATTCACACCTGTCCCTCATGTAGCCCTCGTTGATTGTGATGATGACCTGCTTAGCCCTAGTACATTGTAGCAATGTACCTGTCTGTAGTCATCAGTGTATATACAGTAGCTGCCCCTATGTCCTGTGCTCCCCAGTGCTGTCATTGTTGCCCCGTTGCTCAACTGAACTCCCCACTGTAACCCTTTGGGCTTTAATCATCTCACAGGCTGCCTTTAGGGTTTCTTTGCACCTCCCAACACTTTAGGACGTGACAAGTACATGGGAGGCGGATGGTGCCCCTCAAATTCTTTGCATCTCTTATTTTTAGATGGAAGTGAGACGCCCATGTTTTTCTTTGCAGGATGGCCTAATTAAAAACTTTCTAAGCACTTGTCTGGCTTCCTCAAGGACAGACTTAATGAGACTTGCTTTGCCAAACACAAAAACCAGAGAACACAACTTCACACTAGCCCACAAATTACCCAAAAAAATAGCAGTCCGCCTGAGAGTAGATGATAATTATCTCGACAGCTGATTAATTGGCACAACAGATTATAGACTCTTCAGATGGTTGTTTTTGACAAAAGGGAGATCAGTTGGAAATAAAATTACTCATAAATTTAGGTTACATTTAGTCTACATTTTTCTGTTACAAAACATATTGTCTACATATTGCATTTTACATTCATATTACATTATATATACATCATTTAAATTCACGGGCCAATGGTCAAGCCATTAATAAGCGATATATACTGAATCTGTATTTACTTCGTTGTTATTGTCTTTTTTGTGCTACATCAGCAGACCTGAACATTGCCATCAGGAAAATCACCAACTCAATGTAAACTGATGAAGAAATCATAATCAGAAATCAGGCAATCATTTTAGAAATCGCAACATGTAACGAGTTCCAGCAAGATGTCCCTGATGTGCGCAACCACAAAATGTATGGTGCAAACGGAAGATTTCTGCACTGAAATGTAAAAGCATTAGCAACTAAACTTAATTTATCATTACAACTATTTAAAAACCCAGATCAAAATTTAATGCAAATCATATAAAACACAAATTCACACCCAGCTGTTACTTTATTGTATAATACTAAGCATTCCTGCCTCCTTTCCATGTTTCTTTGAAAGCTTTTGCATAAGGATCACAGGGAGCTTGTAACAAAGTATTTAAATGTCCAGGAAAACCCGGTGTGTCTGCAAAAATGACAGACAAGTCTAGTACAGGGAGCTCAAACACATACATATGCTCAACCACACAGTAAGAGACTGAAAACACATTGCCTTGGAAGAAAGGGATGAGGAGTTCAAACCGACACCAATCATCTACACTACGGGGGGGGGGGGGGGGGGGGGGGGTGATGTTAGTATCACAGTTCTGGAGGCTTGCAGGAACACCCAGTCGATTTACTAAATACCTGGATTTTTTGCTAAATTATTTCTGGGTGGTTTTGTGAATAAATCCACACAAACTCAAATTTTCCTTTATCACTTCAATGCAGAGTCACAAAGGGTTATATAAATACATAGTAATTTTGATTATTATCAGCCTTTAAAAAAAAGACCTTGAAATTTGCAAAGGAGTGCTCATCCCAGCAGTTTTAATAGCTTACTTTCAAATGTGGACCATTTCACATTTTTATCTTAAACTGCTTTCAAAATGTTGTCCATTGTCCCTGATATAAATTGCAATGACGATTTTGTATTTTAAGAAAACCTGAATAACACTGCTTACAATCCTGCTTGGGCCGATCACATTCAGTCTGTACTTGGCACAGCACTGGTCCCCTGCAGACGCTGGTAAGATGAGTGTGGAATGAGCCAGTGAGGTAGATGAGTGTGGAATGATCCAGTGAGGTAGATGAGTGTGGAATGATCCAGTGAGGTAGATGAGTGTGGAATGATCCAGTGAGGTAGATGAGTGTGGAATGAGCCAGTGAGGAATGACGTCCAGGGTGGCCCCTGCAGAGGAGAAGGGTCTGTGTGAGTAAGAACAGGTTCATACCAGAATGTCAGGATGCCCCATTCTAGCTGCATATACCCATGCAGCTGTCAGTAATGTGACCTCAGGCAGCTGGCAACAGCCTCCGAATGGGGTTTGGTCACATGAGCATGGTTGGTAAATAAAAATCGTGCTTGGAAGAAGTAGCCAAGAACATGGAATATGTGATGATGAAACAGAGGCAGTGACTTCGAGGGGTGTATGCTGTGATATATATGGTAGCGCCACCCATTCTCACTTATCAGCGCTGCACACCAAAATCACATGGGTGTAAGATAAACTGGTCTGTGTACAAGGAAGGGGGAAATGGAGGGCAGAGGCTGTGCCCCCTGGTGGGCGGTAGATGAATTGCATTTGGTAATTCCCCAGGGTACCACTGGTTTATGTTTAATACGTGTCTCAGAACTTCATGAGTTCGCAAAGCTTTTCCTGCACTAATGAATACTTCATCAGGCTAAATCAAATGAAATGATATTTTTAAGAAGGCGCCTGTCACAATGTTGGATGACCACGTGATGAAAGCTGTTCATCTGTTTGTCTTTGCTTTGTGCAAATCATTAACTTAGGGTTCCCCTGAATATTAACTCTGGACTCCACTGTGAAATACTGATTTATGCACTGGCTTCATTCAGGAATTACGGGTCTCTGGAGTTGCCCACAAGCAAGTCTTATAGAAGCAGACCAACATTTCACACTAGTGATAGCAGAAACATTTTTTAATCTGAGGTCCCTTTAAGTAGAATGTAATGGTTACTAATATCTTCTAGTCAAGATGCCAACCGCTGGCCATTTTAACTAAGTAAAAATGCAGCCAGTACCATGAAATGGGACCATTCAGAAGACCTGCCCCACCCAATCACAAGCCTGGCCCACAAGGCCCCACCCAATCACAAGCCTGGCCCACAAGGCCCCACCCAATCACAAGCCTGGCCCACAAGGCCCCACCCCTGTGGAGAAGCCCCTGGTCCACTATGTATCTCAGAGCTGGAGCAGAACCTGTCAGCCAACACCAACAGCCATTTCTGTTTTTCACTAGCTGCAGATTGTTATTAATTCACCCAATCAGTGATTATTGTATTTTAAAAAACAGTAAAGTCCATGAAGCTTTTCTTGGTTTTATAATCTCTGGAATGAATGAATGAATGAATGAATTATCAGTTCACAGCATATGTACTCAGACAACAAGGTGAATTCTATCAAAGGTTTTTAAATAAAACTGCAGTGGCTAGACAGGTCAATATTGCTTTGTAATACCACCATATTCCATTAAATTTAGGATAATGGTCTTAAATCTTAAATGAGCAAATATGCCTAATATTCCATAAATAGTTTTAAAATATCAACATTTAATTAAAAATGTATATTTTTGCATGCTACTTTTTCATTCTTAAAGCAAATTATACTTCCATGAAATGGACTGACAAACTGTCAGAAAACATTTACATTTGAAAATCTTCTCATTGTAGATGTAAATTGGATACAAAGTAAACAACTGCAACCTTTCAAAATAACAAAGAATTTGTCACCTAACTTATGTGTAGAAATTAGTCACTTGCTTACCTGAGGTGAAAGTAATTAGGGCTCATTTGTTCATATTTTCACTGTCAAAATTAAAATCCCCCCCCCCCTAAAATACTGTCCCGGGTTCAAATGGCAAACAGAACCACATGCCAGAGAGAAGGAACTTCATCTGGAGCTTGGGTTCCTGTCATGGTGATTGGGGATGGAACATGGAACACAGAACCAACACCAGGGATAACAAAAAGGAACAGGATGGAAAAGTGTCTGTAGTCAATGGCTATAGCAGATTAAGTAATGACTGGGAAATTAACAACTAACACACCACGCAATGCACAATGGATGTGAATGTGGAAACAAAGGAATAAGTCAACAAGCCAAACCTGACACATCCCCTCTTCTTACGCTCTGAGGAATGCTCGGAAATGGCGTAATTATAATAGCTAGTTAGCTTCATTCAGCAACCTTTGCACTAGAGTCTGGTTTACATGGATGAGTTTGCATTTTTGTGGATGAGTCCTTGTACCCTAACCTCTCTGTGATAGTGTGCTCATACCATACCTGTCAACCAGGGAGACATTAGAGCAGGGTTCCCCAATTCCAGTCTGGGAGGGACAATCTGCACAGTTTTCAAATTTTCCTGCTCAGACACACCTACTAAATCTGGTAATTAGCCAGTGAGCTGAATAAGATGTGTTTGAACGGGGAACTTTTCAGCAGCCACGCCACCTGCAGGTCAGACCAGGTAATCCTCCTGAAGCTAGGCAGGTTTGGGCCTGGCCAGTACTTTGATGGGACACCAACTGGGAAAGCTGGGTTGTTGCTGAGAGAGGTGTTGGTGTGGCCAACCAGTTAGCCCACCCTATGGTCTTCGTGGATCTATTAAGGACACCGTGCTGTAAAAATGGTGCCGTCCTTTGGACGAGATGTAAATCTGAGGTCATAGAAGATGCCTGGGCATCTTTTGAAAGAATAGGGGTGGTACCCCGATGCCCTGGCTAAAATTGCTCCCTGTAGTCCTATATGGAACTGTTGGTGATGTGGAAATCAGAGACAAGGAGAAGTTCACTTTTTTCCTGTGATAAAGGGGAAGCAGAAGCATTTCATTCCAGCCTTTCTTTACCAAATTTATTTTCTTTTTCCAAATAATGTTTCGAAGGCTTTCAGGCGTAGCCCTCATCTATTGGATGACAGTGAAGCAGAGGTCAATCAAGTTTCTCTACTAATATCCATTAAACATGAGAGAATAAATGACTTTACATTTTCCATCCATCTTTAAACCACTTAACCTGTTCAGGGTTGTGGGGGGCGGTGCGGGCGGGGATGGGGGGGGGGGGTGCAGCCAATCTGAGGCAGCACAGGACAGAAGGCTGGGGGGCACCCTGGATGGGATGCCAGGACTCAGTATTTTCTTGTCAAAATAAAAGTTTTGCAGTACCTTTATTGATGTTCTTGTGTTATAAACACACAAAAAGATAATATATACTTAATTACCATAATTATTAGAATTGTTTTGGTGATTTAATCCTATTTATTCAGAATTCTCTAGGTGAGTGCCTTCAAATGGCACCAACAATTTAACTGTTTACAGTGACATTAAGGAAGAATGGCTTGGCTAGTCACAGGAGCCGTGAGCTTTTCCTAATATTGGACCCCTAAAGCAATCTAATGGTGATTCAGTTTTGCCATTCTCCAACAAAGAAATACACACTCCATTTGTCCTTGAATTACCATATTGATGACTCTGACTTGCTGTGTGTTCCACTAGATTCCTTGTGCAAAGGTCAATTTTTATGCCGTATTCCATGCTTGATGAACCCCGGTCACCGTATCTCTTTTCCAGACCCACAAGTCTGTACACCAGGGGACAGACAGAGTCATGGTCCAAGCCCATTACACAACCCACTGATTCAGCAACGCAACCCAAGACATTCCCATAACCTCTCACGGATCTCTACCATTTTTGTGTAATGTCACCCACAAAACATATATATAAGACATACAGATAATGTTTCATATATAATCTTGGATTTCATTGTTTTACACCAGCGGCCATCAACTGGCAGACCTTGGATGTGTGTTCCTGATGGAATTTGGCTCTTACTCATGTTAATACCCAAGAGTTGATGATATAGCAACAATTATTATGCATTTTCATATTAATAGACAGCAGAGCATCTATTAATATGTGGTAATTTTTTTTAACCACTGATTCATGTGAAAACAAGTTACACCACAATTGTGCATTGTGTGTGACTTGAAATGAGATCTGTCCTCTGTGACCTATTGTATGTCACGTTATTCCTGCAGTTGTTTCAAATATTGGAGCAATCATATGACTGTGCTCCCTTTTCATATCTGTACATTACTGATCAAATCCCTTTCCAGTCCCCATAAACCCTAATCATGGACTGTCATCCTCAATAAACCTGTCATTCCCTGACAAACCCCAATGTTACACAGTTCCATTCGCCGTCCCAGAGATTCTCACACATATTTAAAACATATCTGAAAGGGTTCAGATTCAAGACGAAGTGAGAAGGGGTGAAAAGCCCCCATTGGACACAAAAGAAACACAGTTACACTGATTTAATTCTAACAAAATGTCAAAATGATAAGCTACACAATAATAATAATAATAATAATAATAAAAATAATAATAATAAGGACCCTTAATAATAATATGATGGTAGACTAAGGGCCTGTTTCACAAAGCAGTATTACTTGCTTAGCCAGATAACTTGCCAGATTTAAGGTAGTCTGGGCTAAATGTAAGTTGATGAAAATAAGGTCTATTTAGCCCAGACTACCTTAAATCTGGCAAGTTATCTGGCTAAGCAAGAAATCCTGCTTTGTGAAACAGACCCCAGGCTTTGTCTGTGGATGATAAATGAAAAAAAGGGTAGGGATCTGTAGTTGCGTCACTCGCAAGGTCACCAGTAGGGGGTGCTCGTCTCAGACCAGAGCCAGATCAGTTCTGTTTCTGGAAAACTTGCTTGCAAACCACTCCGCAAACTCTTAACTCCTACACAGGACAAATGAAGAAATAAAAACACTCGTGAGAAGCAAAGTCCCGGGGGAATTATAGTGAACGGGATTTTTAATACACGGGGATCTGCAATAAGGTTACCAAATGTAATAGGTCTCCGTCCCTCCAGTGGGTCCAGCCTCGACCCTCTTTTTCTCCTTTCTGCATGCAAACCAGTTTGTCTCCCTCCCATTTGATTGTAGTCTGCATCACGTACAGTATAGCACGGGCCAGTTACGACAGGCTCAGAATTGGCACTTAATCAAACGCTTATCTAATAACTTTAAAATATGACTACATTCGGATAGTTATAATACATTTGTGAGTTATTGTTATTTCTGTAAAGCCACCGAGATAGAACAAAAAGAAAATAACGCAGATAAGTAGCGTAAATAAAGGTCCCTGTCAGAGGCGTATGGCAGCCTAATTCTCATCGACCCTCTTACCCTGCATTTGCGACCGTCCACACCGCTGAGATCTTCCACGAACTCCTTCTCGACCTCAAAATCCATGTTGTAGTTTTTGAACGTGCTGAGCGTCTTAATGGTGATATGGTTTCCATTGTGAGTGATGTCTTTATCGGGCTTCAAAAACGTGGCAATTTTCCTAATAGCGATGTTTACATCTGCCAGTCCAATTCAAACAGAATAAGTAAACAGACAGACATAGATAGCATTAAAAAAAAGTGAAACACTAAAATAACAGCCAAATCAACTAAATTGGCCAATGAAGATTTTGTTACTTAAACCAAGGAGCTAAAAAGGGAACATATTTAAATACCATTACAGTGTTCAGGAGAGATAGGCTATTTGGATCGGGATAGCCCATTAACCCTAGCCGAATTATATATGTTTATTCATAATTATGTTATTAAATAAGGTGGGCTAAGTAATGTTTAGAGGATTCATTTTCATTAGGCCAATTCCAACAACCATGCGTGTTCCAACTTGTACGGTTAATGTTTAATTTTAACATTTCAAATCAATTTCACTGGGTTGTTGTATAACCATAATTCGAGGTAATGAATGCTCAGTCGACTATAGTGGTAATTATCTGTTTTAAGTAGTAAGTAGTCTTTATTCAAAATTAAAGTATATAATACTGCTATTTTAATGGACGTCATTTTACACAGTAGTCCTACTGTATAGCCTACACAGTACACTAACAATGAGTCAATGAGTGCAAACAGAATTCGGAGATAATTCAAGCAGATAGCCTATATATATAAAAAAAAACACTGACGAAATTAAAGTACTATAAGACTGTAATTTACTGGCCTAACACAATTCCTTGTTATTTTCTTAGGAGTGAAAGTCATTCGCCTGTGAAAAGAAGGTTGCTAGTGGAATTTTTTCCCGGGGTAAAGTTTAGTGTTGACCTTAATGATAACATGCGCTTGTGACTATATTAACCAGTATAAATAATCTCATTGCTGTTTTTCAATCAAGACTGCATTAAATCATTGAGCAACGGCAACGAAATCTTTGCACAACGCAATACTTACCGAGAGCTTTCAGATATTCTTCAAAGTTGTCATTAGACACCATTTTCCAGTAACCATTCAAATCTACAGGCATTTCTGTTGTTTTTGCGCGTTTTCCTGATTTTTTTCCTGAGGGAAACTTCAGATGCTTCGGTCCGATATGACTGTTTAGCCTGCGGCTGAATGCAGCACTTCTGCTAATAAATACAACTTAAACCAAGGTCCTTTTAATCCGATTACCCGCGAGGTTCTGTTCTTAATAGACTCTCAGCTCTCCTCGCTGCATCCATACCCTTACTAGTTTAACGTTATTGTATGTAATTATTGAGACAGAATCTACTCTTGTACGTGCAGTAAAAACTGAACGCTTATCTTTAAGCGCTGAATACTCATAAAAGGCACAGAACCGTTCATGTAAAGCAATTTGACAGCACTGTTATTACATTAAACAGCTGTGCTTTGGGGTCTGTGGCCTAATATCTCCACATATCGAAGGAATCATTATAGTTAATTATATTAGGTCTACTTATTGTATTATATTATGTGTGTGGAAAAATCTGTTTATGGCATTAGTCCATTTAAAATGCAGAATTATTTATTGTTAAATGTTTTAAAATTGAACGAGCAAGATCAAAGACTATTTTCTACTGCTGAGTTAAAAACTTTGTAACAGCTAAACCCTCCAATCTTTTTTTGAGACTGCAGTAATTCTGGAAACGTCCGAGACCAGTATTAAGGGACAATTAGTAAACATGAATGTTGTTTTTGTGATTTTCTTTCTAGGGGTTTGACACTAGTCATCATTCAGCAAATAACACAGGGGCACGTACTCATCCATTATCTACAACCACTAAAACAGGACAGGGTGACAGTGACCTTGGGGCCACAGGCAGAGGACATCCTTGATGGGATGCCAGTCCGTTGCAGGGCACACACTCACATAATACGGCCGATTAACTGACACCAGTTCAGCTTTCTGAAAATGTTTAGTGACATGAACACAGGGGGATCAGGCAAACTCCATAGACGAGACCCTGGAGATGTGAGGCTGTTTCACTCAGGAAACACACCCCTCTGTTCAAATTTCACCAATAACATAATGACTCATTGACTCTCTGCTGATACCTTAGAGCCGTGGGTCACTGGTGCCTTAACCTGCACAGATCTGGGTTTAATAAGCAGAATATTTGCATTTACTTATATACATTTATTTGCCAGATGCTTTTATCCAAAGCAAGGTACAAATGAAAAAGCAGGGGCAGCCAGTGCCTGGAGCTATTAGGGATTAGGGTCTTGCTCAAGGGCCCAATGCTGGTATAACTCTGCTGACTACAGGACTCATTGAAGTTTGATTCATGTTAGGTGCTAGATAATCCTGGAACATATAGTCCATTAGTTCAGGGACTAAGCAGGGTATACAACCTATGAATACCAAAAAAAAAAAAAAAACATGACAGGTTACCACTAGCATTTGCAATTGTTTTTTGCCCGACTTTGACAAACAGCAATGATTCAACACATAACCATCTTGCGTCCCACAAATTTTCAGCATGTGGCTGTGAGCATGCATCTTCCTGGATTTCTTTAGTCTGAGGATTAATATCCCAACCCCAGGAACAAAGACAATCTCTTTGTTTCTCATATAGGATTTCTCATATAACCCCATATAAAGAAGGGAAAAAAAAACTGCTGGCTGACTAACAAGAATGACGACAGGAAAAAGGTCTCAAAAACAAAGAATAAAGGCGTCATAAGCTGGGACCAAAGCAGGTCCAACCAGGAATTCAACACATTGCTCATGATTCAGGTTCAAAGAGTCAGCTGTCATTCAGTGGCTCAGAGGGCGCCCCCTGCTGTCCGAGAGGCCTCAGCACAGCGTCTTTGTTCCTCTGCTCGCTCTGCCAGGTGTATAGCTGGTGCTCTCGGACGTAATCGATTACAGCGTCCGGCAGCAGGTACTTGACGCTGAGGCCCCGTCGCAGGGCTCGCCGGATCTCGGTGGCGCTGGTCTCGTTTCGAACCCACTCCCGCACCAGGAAGATGTTGTGGCGGTGCCGGAAGAGGGTGTCAGACTCGTGCACGGCCCGGTCGGCTTGAAGGTCGCCGCGGCTGACACACACGAGGCCAAAGCGGCCCACCAACTCCTCCACGTGCTCCGCCCGCCACAGGCCCGGCACACGGAACGTGTCCAGAAAGTCAGCGCCACACAGCAGCTTCAGCTGGGGGGGTTCTGAGGAGCCTGGGGGCACAGAAACACAATGGCGGTAAGGCTGCCCCCGCTAATGCCGTTTATCCCTTTTGGTTCATAGGTGGGATAATCATGGGCAGGGACTGAAGAGGGAAGGACAAACGCACCAGTGTTTCAGCATGAGACACTCAGGCTTTGTTTAAAAAAAAAAACCTGAATCTGTGCATTGGTCGAATTTACTTTAAATCTAAATCTGCTAGAGTCAAAACTCACCGCAACCATCAGCTGGGTGGGTGTTAAGAACGGATGGATGGAATCAGATTTGTGTAGATTAAATCCAACTGCATCCATTCACAATTCTGTGGCCTAACCTCTTATCCTGAGCAGGATGACTACAGGAGGATTCTGGTATATACTGGTATAACTGACATTTCAGGGAAGATTTTTCATCTCTTTCTAAATCATAAGGTTCTACCCATGTGTCAGAAGACCAGCTTTTTGAGCCAAAATGATGATTTTTAAATTTTATTTGTTAAGGTATATAGGAATTATTTAGTTTTCACATATCCCATCATGCTTTGCTATGACATAGACACAAACAGGGGAGAATGTAGCTTGGGGTCAGAGCGCAGGGTTTATTTACACAGCGCCCCTAAAGCAGTTTTCAGGTTACGGCTCTTGCTCAATTGGCCAGCAGTGTTATGTTCACTCTGTGGGCTGCGGGATTCAAACTGATGACCTTCCTCAGAAGGATAAGGAGCTACTGGGTGAAAAAAGATGACTAGGATTGTCTTTAAATGGAAGAGCTGAGTTTGTTTATATGCTGTTAAACAGGTAGCTGGTTTAAGGTTATTGCTGGGGCCAGGAAGCCTTACCTTCAAGGCTGGAGTGGGGCATCTGGAGGTCTGCTGCTGAAGGCTGCTGGCCCAGAAGCTTCTGAAGATGGTGCCTACAGGGGTTTGGATCGGCAACGGGGTGAAAAGCAGAGCGGCAAAGAGGTCAATGAGAGCAGTGTTGGAATAAGCCTCTTATAGAGGCTCGAGATGATTCAGTCTCAGGGCCCCCCCCCCATGGGACACAATAGGCTGTTTGAGGGTCTAATCAGCTTGGGATTTCTGTATGTGCACATTAGAGTGGACCCCTTTCACAAGGGGATTACAGCTGAGTGCACGAGAAAACCCTTCATGGGTGGAAGCAGCAGCAGCCCCATGCGTGCTGGTCACGGGTTCGAGCAGACACATACCCGTGAGAACTCTGTGCATAAGTAAGCGTGTGTGCACGTGCACGAGGCTCAAAATCAGCCGGGCTGCTTTCAGAGAGAACAACAGCCACACTTCAGTGTGACCCGAACCTTCCTGCGCCAGGGACGGAGGCTCAGTTTAAAACGCGAGGCAGCATGACAGTCTCAGCCCAAAGGCACCTGAGGGCCAGTCTGCTTTAAACAGCAAATGTGCAGCGAATGCGGCTGAGAGGATGAGCACAGACCCTCATGCCCAAGATCAGAGCTTTTCACCTCAAGACAGATGTTTCACACTAACAAATACAGATGGGGAGAAATATCTAGGAAAGTATCTCTGTGAGATCATAAAAACTGGGCCCTGTGTTGGAGTGGAATGTCTTCCAGGGCAGCCCCAGCCTTGATCCAGGCTGACCGTGACCGTTAGATAGGAGATCAGCCAGCAGCCAGCACCTCACTAGGGTCAAGGGCCTTGCTTAAGGGCCAAAAGTGATGCATTCACTCTGTCAGTCATGGGAATTGAACTTACAGCCCTCTGGATACAGGTATAGATGCCTAACCGCCTGAACCACACACCACCTAACATAGGATGCCATCGTTCCCCAAACCTCGTACAGATGTATTAATGCATGTATTTCTATGTTTTTACATATTTTTGCATGCATGCATCCATCCATCCATCCACCTATCTCTAAAGCTGTTGATTATTCTCTCCTTCTCAAGGGCATCATTAATTCCGCCACAGCACTGCAACACCCCCACCTCAATGTGACAACGGTCTCGGTCCAGTCTGGCTGTCGGCTCTCCCAGTCGTCCACGGTAACCCAGCCAGAGCCGTGCAGCGCCAGCCTTGCCATGGCGACCCGGTGCTGGGCCGGGACCAGGCCGCGCTTGCCATAGCTGTCACTCACGGGGGACACTATTCCCCCCACAACCTGGAACCGACCTGGAAGGAGATGGAGAATGCGGCGGGGGTGGGGGGTGGAAGGGCTTCAAACCCAGACACTGTCAGGCTGAAATACTCAAACAGCCAAACGTACACCATGAAATAACTGACTGCTAAGTGTAGATCTGAAGCAACTAGAAGAGCAACATCATTGACTACAAATGTTTTGTTTCCCAGGCATGTCACAGCGGATAATGCTACAGCCCCTCACTTCTTGGGTTAGGGGAGCAAATCCTGCCTTGAGACATGAGAAGTATAAATATTCTCTCTGTGTGTGCATGGGTTTCCTCCAACAAAAAGGCAGCACAGTGAATTTTAGGGTGTCTGTATGTACTTTAGTCTGCGATTCTTCTTGTGATGCTTACGATGAACTGGCATCCTGCCCATGGTCTCCCCTGCCTTAAGACCGATGGGTGTTTTCTAGACATATGAGACCATCTGGATAGTTTATGATTTCTGCAGCTACATGACTGGTTGTTGTACCACTCCCTGCCAGCAGGGGGTATGAGCACAGCCTACCTGTATGGTGCATGTGGTCACGGGCCAGTTCAAACAGCCTCATGTGCTGGTTGGTGATTGGGTTGAAGGAGCCACATGCTAGTAGAACCAGAGGGATCCGACCCATAGCGCTGGCACCAGAGGCGGGGTGGGTCAGCCAGAACTAATGCCACAGTAAGGGTTGGGGCTAGGAGGGGTGCGGAAGACCAAAAATTAACAGCCTGTTACAACGGTGAATTCATAGCGACTACTTTGCTATGAGGAATTAACCTGCTTTATATGTCTACAAGGGTCAAGGGGCAGGCAGGTAAACGGCTCATTATTATACTCCAGACCCTGTACTGTACAGGCAGCGGTGTGACTTGTTACAATTTCCGCCGGGTACTCTGAGCTGTACCATCGACAAGGATTTAGAGCCAGAAATAATCTGCCCATCTTAAGTGCAACATGCTCTATAGAAACAGCAGTATCTTAGGCACACGACGTTTGCCACAGG